ATAAATGTTGGGTCAAAATGGAGCCTGCGTTCTGGCCACTGTGCCTCTTCTTTTCCTGGAAGCTTGCATCCTACTCACGTACTCAGTCACTACCACTCTCCTCCACCCCTCAAAAAAATTCATATCCCTTTTTTTTTAAAAATCTGCATTTGTGTAATGTGGTTGCATACAAGAAGCTCAGACAGTGTTGAGTGGCAGTCCTTATCTTCCACCTTGTATGAGACTAGGTGTCTGCTGTTGCTTACACTTTGTTTGAGAGTTTGGGAAGTTTTTCTTTCTTTTCTTTCTTTCTTCCTTCCTTCCTTTCTTTTTTTGAGATAAAGTTTCTCTGTGTAGCCCTGGCTGTCTTACACCTCCTTCTGTACACCAGGCTGACCTTCATAACTCAGGTCTGCCTGCCTCTGCCTCTTAGTGCTGGGATTGATCTCTAAATGGTATAAATTACTATTGAGAGCCAACATAACAAACAGTGAAGTGTAGAGTAAATAACATCCTAAAACCTATTTAGCTCTCGCAGTTTGCCTTGAAAAAGTCCAAGGAATTTAGTATAGTGCCAAAAGCTTATCAAGTGAGAATATTTGAGATAGGATATCACTGTAGCCCAGACTGTCCCTTGGAATTTATTAGGTAGAACAGGTGACAAAGATTTGCCTTTCTTCCAAAGGCTTCTACCATGTCTCCCAGCTAATGACTGGTTTTGTTGTAGTGGTGGCTGGGAACTGAACCCAGAATTCTGTGATTCCTTAGCCTGTGGAAGTTCTGGGAAGTAAGTGAACTTCCTCAGGAAGAGCTCCTTTGTTTGTTTGTTTTTGATTTTTGAGACAGGGTTTCTCTGTGTAGTCCTGGCTGTCCTGGAACTCACTCTGTAGACCAGGTTGGCCTCGAATGCAGAAATCCACCTGTTCTGCCTCCCAAGTGCTGGGATTAAAGGTGTGCACCACCACTGCCCGGCTCAGGAAGAGCTCTTAACCACCAAGCTTTTTTTCAGCCCTGAAGTTTGGACTTGTGGAGAAATATGTTATTAAGAAAGGCATCAGGACAGAAAATCATACTAAAATAAGACTCTCAGAGCAAGCTGTAGAGGTAATGATACGTAAAAGTGGGAACATTTGAGTGAAGGCACAAGGCACCCTCGAGCAGTGTAGTGTTAGGCATGAGGAGGAATACTCGAGTTAACTTGGAGAGGTTAAGAACCATCTAAAACACTTCAGATCCCAAAAGTGCATTTTATGCTAAAAAAAAAAAAGTTGGAAATTAAGGTAGTGTGGATGTAATATTGCCAGATTTAATATTAACTCACTTTCAAGCTTGGTATAGATCTGCTTAGTCTATGCATGGCATGGTATTAGGAGTCTTCTAATTTTAAAAAATTATTTGTGTGGAGGCCAAAGAGATGGCTCAACAGGTAAAGGCACTTGCCATAAAGCCTTACCAACTAGACCCTACATACTTACATAGTTGAAGGAGAGAACCGATTCCAAGTTATCCTCTTAACAACCTGCAACCCAACATACACTAAATAGTTAAAAAAATTACTTGTGATTGGGTGTTTTGTCTTCGTGTATGTCTGCACCACATGTGGATTTTCTTTGTAACCTGGAATTCTCTTTGTAGACCAGGCTGGCCTGGAACTCTGAGAACTCTGCCTCCCAATTGCTGGAATTAAAGATGCCATCTGGCTTTGTGTTTTGGGCCTTTTGTTTGTTTTTTTGAGTCAGGTTGTTATTCTTGGAACTCACTATGGAGAGAGCCCAGGCTGGCCTCACCTCAACCTTGTGATCCTCAAGCTGTACCTCAGCTCTTGGGATTATAGTTGTAAGCCACCATGCATGCATATCAAAGCCCATATCCAAGGTCTTCCTGGGCTACAGAGTGAGATCTATCTATGTCTCCAACCCTTGTCACAAAAAGACAAAAGGGTTTTGTGGAGAAAGATTGGCTTTCTTTACCTTTGCAGTGCTGGGTGGGAGTTGAATTCAGGGTCCTATACATGCTAATTGAGCACTGTGGTAGCTGCATACTTAATTCCTTTTACTCAAAATTTTATGACGCACACTTGAATAAATTGTTGACTTCCACTGCAGTAGAAAATAGAAGCCGGGCGGTGGTGGCACACGCCTTTAATCCCAGCACTTGGGAGATAGAGACAGGTGGATTTCTGAGTTCAAGGCCAGCCTGATCTACAGAGTGAGTTCCAGGACAGCCCGGGCTGCACAGAGAAACCCTGTCTCGAAAAACCAAAGAAAAAAAAAAAAGAAAATAGATGGAAGGGATTAGGGCAACCAGTTGGGTGAGAAATAACTGGACTGTGAACGAGAGAGTGGAGATGGTCCGAAACAGGTTTTATAGGTGTGTTAGGGTTAACGATGGATTAAATCAGATGGGTTTCAGAAGAATTAAGAATGATGGGCATACAGTGGTTATGCTGTTCCATGTTCATAGAACTTACTGAAGGAGGTGGAGGCGGGAGTTCAAGGCTAGCCTGGGCTACACATTTTCCTGGCAGTGGTGCTATACCCCTTTAATCCCAACACTTGAGAAACAAGCAATTAAGGATCTCTTAAATTCAAGGCCAGTCTTATCTTACAAGTAGAGTTTCAGGACGGCTAGGAAAGACAGAAACTCTATCTCAAAAAACAAAACAAAAAAACTGCTTAGGTATTTGAGTTGTTTTTTTTTTCACAGAGTAGTGTGTAAGTTATAGGAAATAGTTGAAGGGAAATGTTTTTCAAAAACAAGACAAAATGACTTGTGTATCTAGCTTGTTGCTGGAGATGCTTAAAAATGCTCCATGTTTTTCACTATGGCCTCTTTTAGTGGAGTGGACTCTATTGTTGGTGGAATTAAACATCGTTTTGGGGGAGTTAGACTCACTAAATTCTATACTGAAATGTTTGCTTACCACCCTAAATATACAAATTATACATGTTCCAGAAATTTAGAAGTCATAGTCATAAAGTATCAAAAGTGGTAGTACATGCCTGTAAACTTAGGGCAGCAAGTTGTGGCCAGCCTCAAAAAAATGGCAAGACTTAAAGCTACATAAAGATGATAAAACTTTGATTTAGTAAAAGTCACTATAAGCAAAACTAGATGGAAATGTTTGCCGTTGTGAGATTGAATACTTTCTTTTTTAGATTATTTTATGTATGTGAGTACGCTCCCTTCAGGTGCACCAGAAGAGGACATCAGATCCCATTACAGATGGTTGTGAGCCACCATGTGGTTGCTGGGAATTGAACTCAGGACCTCTGGAAGTCAGTGCTCTTAACCGCTGAGCCATATCTCTAGCCCCTTTTAAGTTTTAAAAAAGTTAACATACTACAAAATTATTTGTTTCATTATGGAGTTTGGTTTATTTTGTAGGTAGGATAATGGTTTTCTAAGATGTCTACATCTTTCTGTTGTTTTTAGAGTGGTTCTCATTATGTAGCCTTAATTGGACTGGAACTCAGAGGGATCTACCTGCCACTGCCTCTGGAACACTTTGATTAAAGTGTGCACCATACCATTATGCCAGGCAAAATATCTGCATCCTTAATCCTTGTAACTTGTGTATATGTTATTGTATATACAAAGGAGAATTATGGAGTAGGAAATAAGGTCATCTATCGAGTGTGTGTGTGTGTGTGTGTGTGTGTGTGTGTGTGTGTGTGTGTGTTTAAGATAGATGGCCCTGGTTGTCCTAGGATTCATTTTGGAGACTAGGCTGGCCTTGAACTCACAGAAATCTCCTTGCTTCTGTCTCCTGAGAGCTTGAATTAAAATGTGCATGTCCACTACTGGTTTTATCATCTGATTTAAGAATGAAGCCTGGGTCCATAACTTAGAGTACTTACCTATCATGAACAAAGCCCTGGGTTTGATATTCTAGGCAATGAGTAGGATTATACAGTAGGTTCACGTAATTACAAGGATCCTTAAAAGTGGGAAAAGGTGGACTAGAGATAAAGCTCAGTGCTAAAGCATCTTTGAATGTTCAAGACCCTGCCTGAGACATGTGGAATTTTGGACAAATATATGTTTTATCTGAATTGTTAAACAAGAGAAAACTAGACTGGACCCAACTAACAGTGTACCAGGAAAGTGGGTAGATTGTAAATCAGAGATTACTGAACACATGAAAATGGATTGGGGATTTAGCCTAGTGGTAGAGCACTTACCAAACAGTAAATAAAAAGACATGTCACAAAAAGTCTCATAAGGATCCAACATGTGAAAAACACTTGTTTAGTGGCCTTGGGGGCAAATAAGCTGATGTGTTGAAGAGAAGAGCAGGGCTGAGAGGTAAGGCTGAGAAGAATGGCTAGACAGATAACTGAAGCTGAGTGTGGAACACACATGTGGAGTCCCCAAACCTGGCAAGGTGAGGGAGGAGGATAATGAGTTGGGGAGCGGTCTGGGCTATACAGCAATACCCTGTTTCCAAACAACAATTTATGGGTCAAATAGATGAAGAGAACTGTGCACTATAAACAACTGCTGCTTGTATCATTGGTACTTATATGAATGGATGCATTTTTCTTTCATTTCCTATGAAGTGTTTGTCTTGAGCAGCGTTGATCGGACTGTGTTCCTCTGGCTTTGAAGTTTTACCCTAGAGAGTAGAGACATGTGGACTCCTTAAAAGTCTGTAAAAGAAAGTTAAGATGGCAGAATGCTTTATCTATCCTCTAGACGAAGCTTTAGGAAGCTTGAGAAGTGTTGTTTCCTAATGCTGCAAACCTTAAATACAGTTCTTCATGTTGTGATCCCAACCATAAAATTGTGTTGATATTTCATAACTAATTTTGCTACTGTTAATGACAGTGTAAATATCAGTTTCCCGATGGTCTTAGTTAATCCCTGTGGAAAGGTTGTTGGACTCCCCAATGGGTTTCAACCTACAGGTTGAGAACTGCTGTTCCAGAGCCTAATAAATAGGGGATATGGTGCTAGCAGATTAGGGAACTGACAGCTTCAGTTACCTAGACTTTACAGAAGACATAAATGGGATTTGTCTAGTTGAACTACTTTATTAGGCTTTTCTCTATTTGTCTCTATTTCCCAACCCACACCTGATTTGGTTTGGGTTATGGGATACTGGGTGCCAGTATTGCCATACTTTACTGACTGGATTTGGTTGGCAGGGGTCTATGGACACCTAGAAACTTATTTAAGAACTTTTGGAAACCTCTGGTAGGGGGAGCCTTGGGTGAGGGGGATGGGAGCTGCTTCTTCATCAGGATCCAAGGACAGTGTATACAAGGGAAAGGATTCTGGGTATCACCAGCCACCAGGCCTGTCCTTTGCCGATCCTGGGGACCAGCAGCATTTGGGAGAAGCTGTTGAGCAAGAGCAGAGTGTGGAGAACTCTGAGCTTTATACTGAGACTTTTTAGAAAACTCTGGTATAGAGGCCTCTGCTGGTCTGCAGGCCTGGGCAGGGTTGTTTTTCCTTGCAATCCTTTCACATTTCTCTGCTTTGGATTTTCTGGAACTCCCTTTCTTTTGGGTTGAAGTTAGTACTAAAGTCTTGTCTTGTCTCTTACCAGAGAGCAGAACCCCTGTATTTGAGGGTTCTCCCATTCCTGAACAGTTTTCATCACCCTTAATATGACCATGTCCTGGAGATGGAGTTTGGACCATTGCCTTCCATTTCTTCCTCTTATTTTTCTGAAACTCCTGTTCTGCTCTACCAGAAGCTTGTATCTGAGGCTGAGAAGAGGAGTGGGAACAATGAGGGGCCTGGACAGTCAGGGGTTCTGCCCTTTGAACTTTTGGGGGATGACGACTTGAAGAGCAGGGGTGCAGTCTGAGAGGATGAGTCTGTTGGGGGGAGGAGGAAAGTCCCCAAGATTCTGGAATTAGGTTAAGAACTGGGAAGCTGCAAAATGAGTGTTGTGAACCTGGGGATTTGAAAGTGGAGCTCTGCTGTAGTTTCTTCAGTCTGAGCTTTAGTTCTCTACTCCATTGCCAGGCATGGATCACAGGATGGTCATACACCTCTGAGACACCCTCACCCTGGGAGAATGGGGCATCTGCCTTGGCTTCTGAGAACATCTCTTCCTTCTGGAGGCCAGGCTGGATAGGCCAGGATGTTGGTTGTAGAGGATTCACTACTGGAGGATTGGGACCCTGGGAGGCTTCTCTTTCTAGTACATTTCTACATATAAACTCAGTTTCAGAATGTAGCTCTTGTGACAGAGCAGAGAAAAAGCTGGCCCAGGAATCCTTTGTCTGCTCTTCTACTGAGTCCATAGGCTTATAGTCACACTGTTCTCCAGAAGGCTCACTTATATGAAACTTCAAAACAGAGTTTGGAGGTGTACTGGATTCCCAAACTGGGGATACAGAAACACAATGGTTTTCATTCTGCTTCATGAACCCTCTAGCAGGCTCAGAGTTAGATGAGACTCCTGCGGGTTTGGGTCCAAGTGGGTGTTGGGATAAGCTTTGAGCTGGAAGCTCAGAGGTCAAGAAGTTATTTTTTCTTTGAATGTCCCCACACCAAGCTTTACATTTAAATGGGTTCTCTATGGAGCTAACTCTAAGGGGTTGCTGTACAAGATCTAGGGATGGGTTGAGGTTCAGAAATGGAGGCTCAGAAGACAAACATTTTTTTGTATTCCCTGTAGCTTCTGATCTAGGGAAGTCATCCACAGAATTGATTCTTTGTGGTTCTATAAAGAGGACTAGAGGTGATATATGGGGACATGGGGAGTCAGATACCCACAGATGTTTTTTCTGCTCCTTTGTCTCCCATAAAGCCTTAGACTCTAATAAGATTCTTTGGGAGCCAATCATCGCAGAGTCTGGCAGAGAGGCAGAGGGAAGGCTAGGAGGTGAAACTAGGTTGGCACAAGCACAGGGATTTTCTGTACCCTTCAATTGAGTCTCAGATCCCAATGGGACACACATAGGAATGGTTTCATAGAACCCCATGTTTAAGTCCAAGGTTGGAGTTTCTAAGGCCCATGGACTGCCTGAGTTGTCTTTGCATTGCCATTGAGGCTTAAATCCAGACACATCCTCTAGGGGATTCTCTTTCTGGTGTTCTGACAGGGTGTCTAGAGGAGGGTAGGGGGCTGACACTGGAGACTTAGAAACAGGTGGATTCTCTCTGTATCCCATGTTTTCCCTGAGGTCCTTAGGTGCAGAAAGTCTTTCTTTGGGGTTAAAGTGTTTTACCTCTGACAGAGAACCTGATGGTTGACAGGAAGGTGACATTAAGGGATCAAAAGCTTGGAGAATGTCTTTCTGTACTATGATTCCCCACTGAGCTTCATATCCAGGGGAAGTTCCTGGAGGGCCAGTTCCTTCAGTCATGGGTACTGTGAGTTTGCAAGGGGCTGAGATTGGAAGCTCAAAGATCTGAGGGTTCTCTTTTTGAACTGTGGTTTCCCAGGAAGTTTTCAGTTGAGACAGGTCTCCTGTGGGGTTGACTCTCTGGCATTCTGTCAGGGAAGTTGGGAGTGGGGTTGCAGTTATCATTGCAGTTTCAGAGGCTTTTGGGTGTTCATTTTGTCTCATGGTTATCCGTGGCATCTCAAACCTGTCTAGGACTTCCTGAGGGTTAGAAGGTAGTTCTGGATTGTCTTGATGGAGGCCAGGGTCCCCTGGCATCTCCCTCCAGACCTCAGATGAGTTTAAGAATGTGGAGGATCTGATTTGTTGGAGTTCAGGCTGTAGGTAAAGGGCTTGATTCTCAGAGACGCAAGGAACCTCTGTGTTCTGTGTAAACCACTGTGTGTATGCCTTGGTGTTAGGTATGATTCTCCTGCAGCCCTTAAGCAAAGGCTTAAGATTGGGGGATACCGGTGGGATAGGGGGGGAAGGTGGAGGTTGAACTAGCTGAGAACTGGGTGCTATTTCTTTCAGATTTTCCAAAGCATGGCCTTGAAATGTCGGATAGTAAGTTGAGGAGTGGTTATAGGGAAGCAACAGGTTATACACAGGTAGGAAGGGAACTTTGTTGAAGTCAGAAGGACAAATAGACAACTTTAGTGGAGAGGGGCCATCTGAGCTCAGGAAAATAGTCTCCAAGGACTCACTGTGTAGAGAGGGAAGACCCCAGAAGAGCTGGCTTTTTTTCTGCTGCAGGAAACTCCCTGAAGCTATCTTGTTCCTCACAGATATGTTGGTCAGGATCTGGGAGGTAGGGAAGGATCTGGAAGGGCTTGGGGCTTGTGTGAGTACTTGTTCTCGTGTTTCTGTGGCCTTGGGGAGGCCCCCAGAACTACAGGATGGCTGTGGTGGGGCTGTAGAGAATCCATTTCCAACAGGAGTATCTTTGGAAGGATAGTATGGTTTTAGTGGATCCAGAGATAAGAATTCTTCTTCCTTCTTTTCCTCGTCTTCCTCCTCTTCCTCTGATTTTTGCTTCCACATGCAATCAAAGAAGGCCAAATGGTACAGAAGTTGTAGGCCCTAGGGAATAGAGCATTCTCTTGGGTATGACGGTTTCTTAGAGACATGTGATATGTCATGCATTTATTACCTCTGTTCCATATGTAGACTCACCTGCCCCACAGCGCCCGTGGTCACTTACCCAGTTCTTCATCCATTGTTAATGTCAGAATCCACTTCTTATTTAGACACCAGCATTTCCTCATACACCCTAAGGTCAGTGATTACTTACTTTCAAATCTCATGTCATTTTGGCTTATAGTCTAAATCTGAGTCCATATCCATAACAGTGACCCTCTATTTGACTACACGTATCATTTCAGCCACTATTCATCCAGATACATGTCCAAGGTCAGTGGTCACCTACCTTGCCTTGCATCATTTTATCTCCAGAGCACCAGGACTGAAGCTGTTGCTGTCCTACAAGCTGCCACCATCTTCGGATCTGCCAAACCATAAACAAGAATAGTATCACCAGATTCCCTGGACTTTGGAGGCAGATACTGCTGCTACAGTGCCTGCAGGCCAGAGCATGGGTCAGCTGGTCTTGGAGAAGTCCCATATCTCTGTTAGCTCTAAGCAGGCCTTCTAGCAACCATTCCATTTTCTCCAGCCTAGTGGCAGTTTCTTGAGGTCATCACTACATCATAGAACACAGAACTCCCAGCTCCCGCGTGGATCCAATAGCCTTCTCCTGGAGCTTAGGGCCAAAATGTTGTCTCTATCAGACAACTTACCCCATACAGTGAAATCTCCGGGCTCCTTTTTTGTCTTGATTGCTAATGCTTTAGGACATGCACTTTTAACATTGCACTATGCTATCCAGACTCTAGTTTTCACTTCCTGTTCATGAAACGTCAATCAATGTAGAACCTCAGGTTTTGTTTCTTTGATTTTTTGAGACAGGGTCTTTCTTCATAGTCCTGACTGGCCTGGACCTCACTCTGTAGACTACGCTAGCCTTGAACTCACAGAAATCTGCCTGCCCTTGTCTTCTGAGTGCTGTAATTAAAGGTGTGCACCACCACACCCAGCCCATTACTTTAGTTTTTAGGATTAAATACATATATGTACTTACAACAATATTTGGTAGGTAGTATATGGTGTGTGTGTGTGTGTGTGTGTGTGTGTGTGTGTGTGTGTGTGTTAGTATGTTTTAATTTCTAGCACAATTGTTTTTCATGGCATTTTATAATACTAATTTTAGTTGTCTCTCCCTGCGGTGTCCTTTACCCCTGCACCCCTGCCCCACACGTCACTTTCCATTTTCACATCACATATTCTTTGCCTTTCTTCACTGAAGCCTCCTTTTCCTTCCTCATGGCTTCTTTCTACTTTCCTGATCGCCTCTTATACTTACATAAATACACATTAAAAAAAATTAGAAGCTAGGCTCTGCATACAAGAGAGACCGTGTGATATTTGTCATTCTGACCCTGACTTCGGTTTTTTTGTTGTTGTTGTTTTATTTTTCCCCTGTGATGAAATACTATGGCTAAAAGAAACTTGGAGTGGAAAGGGTTTATTTCAACTTACACTTCCACATCATAGTTTATCATTGAGGGAAGTCAGGGTAGAAACCCGAGGCAGAACCTGGAGTCTGCCTCACAGAAGCAATGGAGGAATGCTACTTACTGGCTTGCTCTTTTACGGTTTGCTCAGCCTGATTTCTTACAGCACTTGGGACCACCAGCCCAGAGGTAGCACCACCCACAATGACCTGGGCCCTCTAACATCAATCATCTGTTGAGAAGATGCATTTCGGTCTTGAGCACAGGCCAATCTGGTGGGGTCATTTTCCTAACTGAGATTCCCCTTCCTGGACGACTCTGGCTTGTGCCAGCTTAACATAAAACTAGCTGGCACAGCTTGGATTACCTCACTTTCTATATTTTCCAATTCCATCCATTTTCCAGAATTTTTTATTTTATTTGTATGCACATGCATATTTGTGTGCACAAGTGCACATCTTTTTTTTATGAACGAGTAAAATCTATTGTGTATATGTGTCCTAGGGTTTCTATTACTGTGATGAAATGTAACCAAAAAGCAAGTTGGGTAGGAAAGAGTTTATGTGTCTTACACTTCCAGATCATAATCCATAATTGGAGGAAGTCAGGACAGGAACTCAAGCTGGGATGGAACCTGGGGCCAGAAGCTGATGCAGAAGCCATGGAGGGGTGCTGCTTACGGCTTGCTTTACATGACTTGCTCAACCTGCTTTCTTATAGAACCCAGGACCATCAGCCCAGGGATGGCACCAAGTCATCATGGGATGCCCCCCCGCCCCCGTTATCACTAGTTGAGAAAATACCTTACAGCTGGATCTCATGGAGGTGGCATTTTCTCAATGGAGGCTCCTTCCTCTCTGATAACTCTAGCTTATGTCAAGTTGACACACAAAACCAGCCAGTATGTGTACATTTTCATTATCTATTTTTCTGCTGGTGAATATATAGGCTGATTTTATGTCCTTGCTACTGTGAGTAGAGCAACAAAACCTGTGGATATGCGAATATCTCTGAGGAAGGGTATAGAGCTATTTGTGTATGTGCCCAGGAGTGGTACTGCTGAGTTATATGGTAGTTCTACTTTTTAGTTTTAGTTTTTTTTTTGTTTTGTGCGTTTTGGGAACCTCCACAATGCTTTCCGTGGCACCAGCTCACGCTCTTACCAACAGTACATAAGTGTGGGAACATAGACTTCTGCCCTCCTCCCTCTGCACCCCTCACCCCTACATTCAGTTTATATTGCCAGCCTCTCCCTTTGTAGTGGTAGCTATTTTGGAACTTAACTATATATCCCAGGTTGGTCTCAAACTCATGGCAATCCTCCTGCCTCAGTCTCTTGAGGGCTGGGATTACAGGACTGAAACATTATTCCTAGCTTTTTATCTTTTAGATTTTTTTTCAAGAAGGCGTCTCATTATGTCGTCCATAGAACTTGCCGTGTGAATCAGGCTGGCCTAGGATCCGTAGACATTGGCCTGCTTCTGCCTCTCAGGGCTGAGATAAGGAGTACGTGTATGTTGTGTGCGTTGCCCGCACACTGCTGAGCCAGTCCTCTTCTTTCAGCCTCTTGAGGGACTACAGACTCAAAGAAGGATAGATGTGTAGAAGTTCAACATCTTCAAACTTTGAGTTGTAGAGAAAAGCCACAAATGTATTAATTAAATATAGAACACCACATTATTCCTGCATAGTGAGTGTCTGTAGTTTACCTAAACAGAAGAAAGTGAGAGTTGATTCCAAACCTTTTTTATTTCTTTTTGTTTATGTTTTTTACCTATAAAGTTTAATTTTTAATTTTTATTTTTTTCATTTTTTTTATTATTATTATTTTTTTTGGTTTTTCGAGACAGGGTTTCTCTGTGTAGCCCTGGCTGTCCTGGAACTCACTCTGTAGACCAGGCTGGCCTCAAACTCAGAAATCCGCCTGCCTCTGCCTCCCAAGTGCTGGGATTAAAGGCGTGCGCCACCACTGCCCTGCTGATTCTTCTCTTTCATTTCTTGTCCTTCAACATTAGTGCAAAGGGAAGAAAGAATACACAGCGAATGGGCATTATTGATCTACCTGCTCAGCTCAGAGTTCTCAAGAGTTAACCTAATCCCCTCTTTCATGGCTCACAGTCTTTAGGAATGTTCATTGCTAGAGCTCATTTCTGTCAGCAAAACAAATCTCAGTGAGGAAACTAAAAGAAGAAACCAGAGTACTAGCTTTCTGGTTCTGCTTATCTCTAAAAATGAAAGAACTGTAGAGCCAAGGAATGTCCACCAGGTGGCAGTGTGACATGAAATAGAACCAACATACCAAGACCTGCAGTGTCCCCAGGTTTCCACAGCTCTGTTCCTGCAGTGTCCCCAGGTTCCCACATTCCTCTGCTCATGCAGTGTT